ATATATATATATACACATACATACGTATACTGCCTTACGGATAAAAGTGCCTCATTACCACTCTGTCATTTGCTCCCCCTCCTCTTTTTCACACACTTTTTTTCCCTGTCTCTTCCTCCTCTCTCTTCCCTTCTCTCATCCTCTTCAGTCCCTCTGACGACTAACGGTGATGATTCACGTTATGAATCACAGACAGATATTTGAAGGTTTCAGCCCACATATCTCACTCCCTTCCCCCCTCTCTCTCTTTCTCTCTCTCTCTCTCTCTCTCTATCCATTTCTGTTACACTCGCTCTCCTTCTCCCTCTGTACCGCTCTTGCTTTTCTTTCAAAGTTTCAGTTGGCAGGATTTGTCTCTGCTCCACATCAGAGAGAAATAGGAGCCATAATAAAGGAGAAAATATTAACCAACCTATCTACCTCTCCGTTTTTTTCCTTTATAGCTACATTATTCTGTGTATCATCTGTGCTTTAGCCAAGTAGAAACTATAATTATAGCTTAAAATGTGTTTTACTTCCCTAGCTCTATGGTGACAGCCTGCACTGTGTACTCCCGGATGGTATTTGCAGTTATTTTTATATTTATTTTTCGTAATCCTCTTTGGAGAGTGTTGTTGCAGTGGATTCTTTTGCGTCAGACTGCTGACTCTTGTTTTAAATAACTCCCACCATAACGGTGAGTCAGGACCTGTCGTTCACAGCCACAGCTCGTCACCACTGGATGGGTCTTATCAGAGGCACTTGCTGTTGCGCACACACACACAGTTACTGTCATGCGCACACACACACCCACAGTGGCTCATGACGTACATCCAGTCACATTGTCAGTAGGGGCAATGAAAAATTCTAACCGGTCAACGAGTTTGATAACGTCAGTGACAGTTTGGCCTGACTTTCTGACAGGATAGAGCCTCTGACATCCTGTTATGAAGAGAGAAGTCATTCTGTTGATCAGCTGCTGAGAATGAATGTTGACTTTGTATTGTTTGGATTTGTTTGTGCTTTCAGGTCTGGTTGCGTTTCGGCAGCACCTCCAGAACTTGGCGAGGACCAAAGGCATCCTGGAGCTGAACAAAGTACAGATGCTGGTGGAGCAGATGGGCTCCGGGGAAGGGGCCGCCCTGGGCCCTCTGGGACCACAGCACCACTTGCACAATCTTATGGAGGTCAGCAAATAATGACACAAAGACACACACACACACTCACCCCTCACTCAAACCCATTCAAGATCTTTCTCTTCCCAACCCCGTTCTCACCCTCAGTCCCTCTACTATCCTCACCCCATATTGGGCAAAAAAAACAAAACAAGCACCCAGGCGGTTGTGTAACCCCAGGAGAGGCAGCCAACTGTGGCTTGTTTACTGTCTCCCGTCCCCCTGGGGCCTGGGGCCTGGAGCCTAGGCCAAAGTGAATGCAGCCATTGTTGAAGTCAGTCAGACTTAACCATAGTAGTGACTGGCACTCAATAGGCCCAAGCTGCTGATCACACACAAATATGGGAACACATATACAAAAAATAATACACTTACACTGCAAGGGGAATCATTTCAGGAAAGATCCAATGGCTTTCCTGTAAAAAAAACAACAACAAGAAACACACAAAATGAATCATAGAATCAGACAAGATCTAGTTGTTTTCCTTTTATCCATCCTTCATAATGCAATAACGCAGCTCTTTGTTGGTTATGATGCTCGGCCACCATGATCCTTTTAATTTGCTTTCATTTCATTTAACTACTGTGTAATCCCTGTGGTACATGCCATTTAGAGAAAGGCATCTGGCTGATCAGTCACCACACAGGCATTTGGGCAGGAGACAGCACAGATAATCCAGTTAGACCACACGATGAAGCACCCAGACCCTGACACAGCTTTATTAGCCGGCGGGAGAGGAGATCTGGGAGTCGTGTGTCCACATGCATGTGTGTACAAGTACAAGAGCATAAACATCCCTTGTTCTGATGCTGTGTGCTTTTGGTCGAAGGGCGAGGCACCCAAGCAGCAGGAGGGCCTAGCTCCATACCAAGGTGGGCTGCATCCACCTCTCCTGTCCCGCAGACAGAGTTTGGAGACACAATACCTCACTCATAGACTACAGGTACAGTCTAACACCAACTACACTCACTCTTTATGACTATATTCATGTATAAGTTTATGATACAGATGCAGATACAGATCTGTCTGCCTCTCTCAAACCAAATGGCTGCTCTGTGTGACATTCAGTGATATCATTTGGACATTTAAGAATTATCAGTTCTCCCAATGATGCAACAATAACGTAATAGTTTGTCGTCTGTTACCATGGTAATTATCCTAAACAACAGTCATCAGTCCAGTCTCTCTTCTGCCCAAAAGGCCAACGTCTTGGCTAACAGTCCTGCTAGCTGCCAACTTTTCTGTAAGGAGACTCCTCGAAGTTTAGAGCAACAGCTGCAGGAACACAGGTAAATCACGCTGTAAATGTCTGCTTCACCCACTTCAGGTTTTATTTGTTCTTCTATTCTGTTCTATGGAATATTTTCTGAGTTTTTCTCTTGTTTTCTTGTGTTTAGCTGTGGTGACCTTTTACCGCCGGAAGATTGAAAAAAATAAATACAAATAAGAAAACGTACTTACTAGTCATAAACTGTGCTACACAGACAAGAATTGAACTCTTTAAGACACCCAGGAATGAAACTGGTGTCAGAGCCATTTTGTTTCACTCATTCATTCACTCTGACATTATGTTCCTGTTATCTGACTTCTTGTTAGAAGAGGGGTTATTTTGTTTTTATTTTGCCCTAACCTTATGTGTAACGAGTTACACGTGTCTATCTCATGCACGCTTGTCACCATCTTTCTGCCACTATTTTTCATGGATGTAGCAAGCTAGCCATGTAGGAGGATGGTGTGCCCATTCTCTTAATTCCATCTACTAACCTCTGATTGGTCAACTGTTCTCCAGCCGTCAGTGAGCCCAACCGACCTATTTGAATCGGAACCAGGCTAAAATGTGCAAAACAAAACGTGCAGGAAATAAAATGTCTGAATTCAGCGTTTTGGTTTACCAATTCCATTTTCATTCCAAATTTTGTCCATCTGTGCAAATGCATAAAAATTCCAAGCTTTATATTCACACTTGTGTTGATTCTAAGTGTTGTCATGATCTAAGTGGGCTCCACTGCTCTCCCCACAGACTGCACCAGAAGAGGATGTACCTGCAGCAGTCACAGGGCATGGGGCTGCAGACCTACTTCAACCAGATGCAGATAGCTGAAGGATCCTACCCGACAGGCAGCCCTGCTCTGGACCTGGCGGCGTCTCAAAGTTCCCCTCAGGGCCCCCCCATGTCAGCCGCCCACCAGCCTCAGCCCCAGCAGCAGGGCAGCCCTCAGGCTTCGCCTCCCTTCAGCCACCCCCATAGCCTCAGTCCCTTGATGGAACCGGGCGAGGGCCTGGTTTATGATCCCTACATGAGCCACCACCACTACACCCAACACCTTCCACCTGGATCTCACCTCTACCACCAGCTCCACAACCCCCAGCCTCATGAAGCCTCTGCCAGCGGCCTGGGCTTCAGCTACCCTATAGATTGCGAGCAGCAGGTCCTGGGGCCTTCCTCTGAGGTTCTTCTTGCAGAGCAGTATGAGTTCCCGCTGGACCCCGCCTTACTGCCCCCGCCAGCTCCAGGAGAGGCTGAGGCTAGAGCTATGGCCAGGGTTTTGGCTGGTCCGGGGCAGTCAGACGGCCTTGGCCTGCCTGAGCTGCAGAGCTCCCTCCTGGACAGTGAGATGATGGAGACCGTGGACTCCCAGCATGGCTTCGTACTGGTCAACTAAAGCCAGCTGAGGGGGTTAATAGAAAGCAGTATTAAGCAATGAGAACCCACACAGCACTAAGAGCAGAGAGAATGGAGATATAAGTGGAGGCCACAAGCGTAGCAACAGGGAAGGAGAAGTGTTCATTTTTGTACGACTAATACAAACTTCATTTCTTAGTTGTGACGAACCTCAGACAACCTTTCTACCAAAATCCTCCCTTAGCCTACCTCCCTCTCTCCCTCTGTTCTCATCAGCTCTGTGAGGCAAGAACAGGTCCGATAAATGGCACAATTTGAGCTTTGCCGTGCTGACTTGGCGAAGCTGCAGTTGTCATGGACGTTGTCCCACCTGTGAGGACTGCGCCGTGCAGCCCAGTGGTGGGGGGAGGGGGGGGTGCTGCACATCTTGGAGGCTGCCAGAGTGCAGCATTTCACCTAGAAATGGTTTGGAAGTCAACTAATTTAGGACTGACTGACAGGCAACCAAAAGGACAATGGCTGGCAGTGCTTTTTGTATTTAAAATAGGACACCATCAACAACAATAGACTGGTTCTTAAAACACTGCATTTTTATTTTATTTCAGTAGATTAAAAAAAACAACTGAACAAGAGAAAATGGCCCTCATTTATCACGGTACAATGAACATCTCCGCAAATTCAAGTGTTAAAAGTGTTTTATAGGAATTATTTCACACACTAATGTGAGCGCAAAGGCTAACATGACGGCCGTATTGATGAGTGCATATGTTTCAACACTAGTATTCCTTCCAAAAACAACAACAGGTAGCTTTTGTTTGTCATTAGCCTGAACAGATACCATGAACATGCTGAGTGAAGCAGCAGGTTGGTCAGTAATGCATCATTTGTTGAGCTAGGTTTGTGCTTTTTACAGCGCTAAAAACTCTCTCAAGCTATTTTTTTAGTTCATTAACTAATAAATAATAGATATAACACAATTCTTCAAGCTATTGTGTAAGCTATATGACATAAATACTACAGGTTTTTTTTTCTTTGTGTTTTTTGTAACTACTGATCCTGATTTATTTCTTACACTACTGAACTGCTATTTCACTCTTTCCATCTGATTGCACACTCGCCAGGTGTCATTACATTCAATAGGATGAGGACAATTTACCAGTTTTTGCAGGGCGAAATGGCCACATGCTTATTTAACAGTTGAATTGTGGGTCATGCGTTTGCCTGATAAATGAGGGCTGATGTAATTAACCTGTGTTTGGTTGAGAAGTAGCGATGTTAGACAGTCAATATTATTCTATTTTTGTGGCAATACTGAAGCAATATTAATCCTTAATGTCGAGGGATTATGAATGGAAGCCTCACCTGTACAGCCAACTCTGATTGGTTCCCGGGGACCTCTGATGAGTCGTCAGCAGTGACATCACTTGAGCTGATGATGTAACCAGGAGATAATCTTTCACTCACTCGCCCTGGAAGCGCAGGGACAAGCCTGGAGACTCTGTGTGGTGTGTGTGTGTGTGTGTGTGTGAGAGAGAGAGAGATAGATAGAGAGAGAGAGTGTGTGTGATTGTTTGTTTGCACAATTCATACTTCAGATTTGTCAAATTATCTGTCATCATTAGTGAAAAATACAAACACTGTATTGACGTCTCCATTCAAAATAAAAACAAACTGTGCTTTTCCCTCAGCGCACAGTTGTAGCTGTTAGATAAACTCTGGTTTACATCCTCAGTGCTCCAGTCATGCCTCTGTGTTGTTTTATTGATGAATCATGTTTATAATAATGGAATGACCCCTTAAAGATTCCCTGCATTAGATTTCATGAAAGAATGTTTCCTCTCTGACGTTGGGGCTGCTGTGAGACGAAGACAAGCAGAACGTCGGTCACCAGACACTGGATTTTAGACTATAGGCTCACCACCGCTCTTTGACTGACAGCAAGCCAGCAACAAGACGAGAGATCCTTTTTTTTTTTGTTCCTTTTTTTTTTTATTTACAGCACTTAGACTGTTCAATCTACTTGAAGCGCACAGATGTATCTTTTCTCACAGATGATGACTTACTGATGATTTAGAAATTGGAATAACGACACAGTGAACGTCAGAGGGTTGAGATGAGATTATTGGATTGTGACCATCTGCCAGACTGTGTGACCTTCAGTGGTCGTGGGATAAACTGTAGTGTTTGTGGTCAGATTAGCCTTCAGACAAGACAGTCACTCTCATGCTGTAGACTGGATTGAGCAGATATATCTTAGAGTTCACAATCAAACCCTAAAGTTCAGAGGTGGTTCGACTAAGGAGTCTTTATAGTTGCAGTTAACAGTCTTAAACGACGGCTAGAAAGTATGGACCAACTGTGGTTGAAGTCCTGTGTGAGAAGGAAAAATCCACCCTAAAATGCTTTTAACACTGTTTCACAGACTAGCACAGCAACTAATGAGGAAATCATCTGCTAAATTATTTTCTTGACTAATCAATTCGTTTTTTGGTCGATAAAATGGTGGGAAATGCCTGTCACATTTTCTCAGGGCCCCAAGTATTCATACTGCATGTACTTTTCTGAACAGTCAAAAACCCAAACATATTTAGTTGACTTTCAAAAAAACTTTTTTTTTTTTGGTTCATTTTTTGGCACTTTTGCATAACAAAAAAAGGTTGTAAAAAGATGTTGCTGAATAATTTGATGTCTACTTGTGTCCTCTCCACAATAGACTAACACTGTTGGCAATGCAGTTTATTTCTGGGCCTCTTTTGTTCTTCAGTGGTGTACTACTAAATTCCTGATTATAATCTGTCAAGAAAACCCATTGTTTTGATGTCACTCAGGATCTGAGTGACATCAAATGTTTAGTAAGTCACCATTTCACTCTGACGTTTTACAGCGATACTAATAACTCCAGCAACAATGGCCTCAATAGGCCAGAGTACACTGTGGCCACAAGACATGTTGCAAAACAGGTCTTGTGGTTGCATTAATAGTTCCACCCTAAAATTTACAAACTAGTTGGTTAGCTGGATATGTTTATATGGTCATACACCCACATTTTATTGACAGGAATAAGCTCACACCCAGTTTGTGGGTCATGCTGTAAATGTCCTTTAGAAAGAGAAGAGACTAACACAAGAGTGTGAGACAGGTTGAACATAAAATAATAATTCTGGAGTTTACAAATCAGTACATTGGCAGTGTAAGAGTATTAAAGGGTGGATTTCACCTTTTTAAGTGAATATTATGATTGTTTTTCTATCATTTTGTCAATGGTCAGGCTAGAACAGCTACAGAATGATCTGTGGAAGTTGAATACTGGAGCACTTTGACAACAAGGGGAAGACGAGATGTAGCAAGAGGAGGAGGTGATTGTGGTGGAGGTGGGAAAGGTTTGTATTGCTCTGCTGTTTCCTGGCAGATGAAACGAACCGTAATCTGTAGGAAACACCTTTTCTCCTCTCTCTTCCCCACCAATAATGGACACAAAACACATTTTCTTTCAAAGAAAGACCAGACACAGTAACACTTTATCTGATTGTTGATTTTAATCCAAGAAAGAGTAACACTTTCTTTGTACAAATTAGAGGTGTAGTGAATCTTCAGTGCGCGCTCAAGTTGCACCGAGGTGAATTTTGTGTTGAACGTGAAAAGTGTTCAGTGTGCCTTTTACTTTTTTCCAATCTAAATTAAGATTCTGAATAGCGCCATTATTTCTGGTTGGACCCATGTATCATTTATTTTATTATGATTACTTTTTTTCTTTTCTGTATTTCTTTTTTTTTTTTTTTTTCTTCCGAAAGTAAGTAGAGCCAGGTTTTACAAAGGTACAAAACCAAAGTCCCTCAGAAGTTTCCCTGTACGACCCACCGTGTGGAGTTTTGGAGCTTCTTTATCAGCTTCTCTACCGTGCTTTTTTCTCGTTGGTCAATCAGTGTATGCCATTTAAAAGTATTATAGCAATATTTCTCTAGTTGAAGACTAAAGTCATGAAGATTCTAGTGGACGTGTTTCCAAGTATCATCATTTCACCTCCTGCTGATAAAACAAAAACATCAATCTATCAATAGAAATCCAGTTTTATATTTACCTTCATTGATGTTGACCACACATAAGCTAACTTGCTGTTGAGATTAAAAAAGGTTTATTGAAAAAAAGAAAAGTATTGTGGGTGTTTTCTTTTGTGTGTTGCTGAGTCACATACTTTGTCAGTGTGTTATGACAGTACTTTAACACTTAATATACAGTTTGTGTTGATCCTGGTTATTGAAACATGGCTCCAGAGCTGACACTTAAGTATTTTCTATCAACACACTCAGCCATCTTCTCCCCATAATCCAATTGTGCTGTAACTACAAAGTGCAGCCGTCTGATAGCACCCCGGGGTTGTGCGGTGTAGGCGTGGGTTAATGACCTGGAAAAATGAATCACACCAAGTGCTTCATATAAACCGTTGAGTCACAGCTGAACCTGAAATTATTCCAACCAGAACTAAAGCTCCCGAGGCGGTCAATGCAGCAGGAGCTACAGGTCTAGTTTTACTGCATCATTTAAATATTTATATTCTCTCTTGTTAGATTCAAACTAACAAAACATTTTATTGGATTAATACTGTCACTGTTCTAGTCATTAAATTTGTGATATATGTTTCAGCCACAGCCTTTAAATGAAGGTACAGGAGATGGCAGGTGTGTAGTTCTCCAGCCAAATAATAAGCACCAGGATGTTAAAGCTACAGGAGGTAACGTTTATAAAAATAACTTTTTGTCTTTGTTTGATGAAACTTTATATCCTGACAGCACATGAGACAGATTATCTGTGAAAAAAAAATCGGGTTCCTCTGGCTCCTCCTAGTGCTCCGAGATAAACGGTCTTTTTTCCAGGGACCCGAAGCGTTGATGTGTTTGACGACCGGCTATTGTCCTCGGCCCTGATTGGTTGTTCTCGTTTGGCATGGTGAATTCTTGTAAATGCCATTAGCAGGATTAGCAGCAAGAGGAACCTGATTTAATCAGATTATCTTAAAAGATCATAAGGTTAGCTTTTGATACATGACAGCATTACCTTGAGGCTGTAGACTCTACACATCTGCTCTGACTAACCGGTTGCCTTCAAGTGTTTGGTGCAGGTTTGGTTAGCAAAGGGAATTTACATAAAGTCAAACAGCATACACAAAATAATGATTCAGATAAATCCAACCCTACCACAGGAGAGTTGAGGAGAGTCTCACACACCTCTAGTGGTATACGTACAGCCATCACCCCAACTGTGGCCAGATCAACCTACCCCGGGGCAAAACTTGACGAGTTTTTTGTGGTAATTTGGTTAAACGCAAATTGTTTATTTGTTTATTTTAAGTTGTTGCTGAGGACACTCGCTATGTACATTTTGGCATAAGGCCCTTTTGCAAAACCGGTAATGATGCAACACCTGCGTTGATAATGTCAGTTCTGCTTTAATAGCACATATTCCAAACTATTGTGCAAGTGATCAAATGAACACAAACTTAACTGATACTAAAACAAATTTGAGAAACCCAAGGGCAGTTGCTTGCCTCGGTACAATGCAAGTGAAGGGAATTTTATTTGTGTCGCTCAAAGCTTCAAAGAATGCAAAAAAGAGTTCGCAGATTGCTCCACATACATTTTCAGCTCTGCCTCATTCAGTGTGCAGTCATTCAGTTTCATGGTTGAGTCTTTTTAACCTTTCACCAAGATTCACAGAAGTGGTTTCAAAAGTGCTGGAGCCATAAGAATATTCCCACCTGTTTTCAATGCCAGTTAACTTGTTTCAAGTATTTTTTCATAATTCAAATTTAGCAAACTGTCTTATTCTTTATTGTTATTAGCTATTGAATTTATTCGTGAAGTATTTTTTAAACAAGTTGATTTAAATTAAAAACATAAATGCAGGAATATAATATTTAAAATAAACACCATAAAATATGTCTTTTATTGCATAATGAGTTTATTTACTTTTGATACTTTAAGTACGTTTTGCTGATAATACATACATATTTAGTAGTAGAAGTAGAATTTGAAATGCAGGATTTGTACTTTCTATAATGTAGTATTACTTATTACTTAATCCTTCCACCGCAGGTTTTTCTGTTTTGTAATTTGGGTGAACTGAACCTTTTAAAGACAGAATTCTGTATGTAAACAGAAAAATGATTTTCTATGATAAAAAGACAACAAACACTCCACTTCTCTTTTGTCCGACCACATGTGAGTCACTGCAGAACGCTTTTTATACACAGTGTTCACATGCAGGAGGAGGACCTGAATAATTCATCACCACTGATAAAAACTGAAGTCCGCACCAGATCTGACATCACATTTGGTCCATCTCCATGGCAATCGCCTGTCAATATTTATTAAACTATGTGAAACTCAAACACCTTTTTCTGATAGTAAAGTGCGGCCGAAAGGGGGGCTTGTCCTGAGCCACGTTCTGATTGGTGGACCTCAGCTGCACATGTGAGAAGAAAATTGTAGGTTTCTGTAAATACATTCAGAGCAAAATTATGCTAGTAGAAAATTTTAGAAAAAGGACTTCACAATGCTGTTTGAGAGCAGAGGTTTGTCCTTTTTGTGCCAAGAGGATCATGTAGAGAGAACACGTCAATCCAATCAGCCCACTCAGACAGAGAACAGCTAATCCCACTAATACACCACCAGAGGTAGGTGGGTGGGTGTAGCGGGGGGTCAATCTGTTCATGGAAACCAGGGTCTCACTTCTTTTCCTGGGATCAGACCATGTACACAACTCACTGTTGGTACTGCTGATCCAAACTGATAAGTCTGAAACATGGGATGGCTCACACTCAGCCGTGCCCCATAAAAAAAAAACTCCCCCTCGATACTGATCGGATTTCAGTCGACATAGCCTCACATTTTGCATCCGCTGCCTTTAATGCAAAGTTAATTTGACTCTTTGAAAAAGAGCTGCAAGACAGTGGCTTCAAATGGGATCCACCCATAAACCCTGCTGGTGGGGGGGTATATATCTCCTTCTCCTCCCTGCTCAACACCTCCTGCTCTAGTATGAGAGAAAGAATATAAAAACACCAGATAAAACAAACAGGGGTATTTTGACATACTTTAATTATATATTTGAAAAAAGTGTGACCTCACTGAAAATTTCCGTACAAGACGGCAGCATTTTTCCAGTTAAATGTAGTTATTTTTAGTAAGTATTCAGTGCCATTGTCTGCTATTTAGACCTTCAGCAGGCTGCCTGTCACAGACACTCTTTGGGGGGAGGTAGACAGAGAAAAGAAAGCTGATACGAAGACAGACACCGGTAATCTTCTCCTTTTTTTCAATAAAATATCACAATATCGGAGGCCTATTCACTCATCAGGCCAAAGTATACTGTAATGACATCAATGGTTGCCATGACAACAGGAGGAGGGTGGATGACAACATCCTACTGCGTCTTTTAGAGCAGGAGATCACAGCGCTGTTCAGAATTAGAGCTGGAAAAAAAATGATAAAGGCTCGGAGACAAATGCTTGAGCTCTGAATGCAGAAGAAAAATTAGGAACTTTTCTAACAAGCTGCACCTTTTTTCTGTGATATTCACCGTGCAATGAATACACAAGGAATGATTTAAAAACTGCAGAGCCCAGTGCAGCATTCAGGCTTTGTAGCATGTGGGTCTGACGTAAATGCCGTATCTCAGGACTGCCACTGAAACAAAGATTTTCTTATATGAAATTAGCTCCTTATTGAAGGTCATACTGCACTCGCACACGTGTCCCCCATTATTCAGCTTCAGTCCCTTGTCTCTGAATACACGCTGAACACATGCTGGCCAGCAGATGGACAGAGTCAGAAATCCCAGTACAGATGACCCAGTAGTGCCTGGAAAAAAATCAGCTCCTGCAGGCTCCTGGGCTGGATGTTACAGCCAAGCCAAGACTCACACACTCTGGGCTTGAGCGATCGTGTTTGCCCTGATATTATCTAGAGGAGAAAGTTTGTACAGTTTATAAACCTCATGCTGCATCGCTGAAAGATGACAGAATAAGAGAGGAGAGGAGAGGAGAGGAGAGGAGAGGAGGGGAAGGGGGGGTCTGAAGTGACAAGGTGACTTAAGGAAAATGAGTGGGCCAACGTTCTTTTTCTCCCCGACTGATGTTTGTCATTTGTCACCCTGAGAGCCTCTGACCTCACTGTGTGTGTGTGTGTG